ATACAGTGAGAGGTATGAAAGCAGGCTGGCTGTCCGCCTTGCTGACACGATGTGTGTGGGTGTTGGCAGCTAAGCTAAGCTGGCTCCCTCTTGTCAGGGAGCTGTGAATGTGTGAGAGGTTCTTCACATGTGTTTCACCATATATGGATATCTATTTATGATATTGTAGCACTCGGATATACACACTCCAATGCTTCCCCATGTTATGTTGTTTTGTTTAAGGCTATTTATTTTATTATTATTTATTGATTTATATATACGTATATATATTTATATATATACAATTTTTTTCAATTATTGGGAGAGGGATTTCTGGTCAGTTTCATCTGGGAATTATGTACTCTGGGGCTAGGTTTTCATCTAGTAAATCGCGGCTCTTGGGCCACCAGCTGTGGGAGCGGGGCGTCTCATCTTGGGCCACCAGCTGTGGGAGCGGGGCGTCTCATCTTGGGCCACCAGCTGTGGGAGCGGGGCGTCTCATCTTGGGCCACCAGCTGTGGGAGCGGGGCGTCTCATCTTGGGACACCAGCTGTGGGAGTGGGGCGTCTCATCTTGGAGAAATCTTTCTAACATTGGGTCCTCTAACATTTCGATGGTGTTCCACACCCTGATGGCTTGGTGCTGTAGTCTGATGTTTAGTGGCTGTATGTTCAGGAGTTCATGGAGCTCCTGGATTGTCTGGTCATATGGTGGACGGTGTTTTGCTGCTCTCCTTAGCGCCTTATTTTGCACTGCTTGTAATTTTTGCATGTTAGTTTTATTTAAGGTGTGTAGTGGTACTGGGGGATACTCTTGATGCGGCCGGACTAGAGCCTTATAGAGGTGTATCTTCCTCACTACTACCTTGGACCCTCACTATCCCGTAGTCCCTCTCCTCCCTCACTATCCCCGCCCTTGGTCCCTCCCCTCCCTCACTACCCCCTGCCTCTGCTCCCTCTCCCTCACTACCCCCTGCCTCTGCTCCCTCCTCTCCCCCCAGCCAGGCTTCGAGACCCCAAGTGGAATGTGTACAGTATTTGGTTACACGAGGCTGTTGAGAGCTCATAGGCCGGTGGGAGCGGTGCTCGTGCTGCGGTAAACACCTCCTTGACGGAGGAGCCGTTGAGTGTTTGTGTAGCCCACTGCCACCAGACCTCCGCCAGCCTCCCAACACAGTTGTTCCCAGACGCTGTGTTCCGCTGTGGAGCCTCGTGCACTCTTCTTCGTCCCTGTTCATCCTGTGGTGACTCGGGACCTGGTTGTAAGGCAAGTGGCTCCTGGCCCTGTGGCGGCCGTGTGCTCACTCACAGGATGAGTGGCGCGGCTCAGTAACTGGCACTTCGGATAAATATAAAAAATAAACAATGGAGAAGGTAGCTGTGGTGTTTGATTCCTAATGTACGTCATAACTGAACACAGACCTGTGTATACCCCACATCCACACCTGTACCCACACCTGTAGCCACACCTGTACCCACACCTGTAGCCACACCTGTACCCACACCTGCACACACACTTTTACACACACGTTTTCCTTAAAACACTTATCTCCTTCTACATGTACGTATAAACCTTTCCCCCAATTACCTGGCTGCTCTCTCGGTGTATATACCTGGCTGCTCTCTCAGTGTATATACCTGACTACTCTCAGTGTATATACCTGACTACTCTCAGTGTATATACCTGACTACTCTCAGTGTATATACCTGACTACTCTCAGTGTATATACCTGGCTGCTCTCTCAGTGTATATACCTGACTACTCTCAGTGTATATACCTGACTACTCTCAGTGTATATACCTGACAGCTCCCTCGGTACATGTTCATTAAGGTATAGGCGCCAAGAATTACAAGAGGATCAATGAAACACTGTTACTACAAGATTTAGTTTATGTTCAAAAGGTTGAAAATACAATTATTCTCCGCTTACAAGATTTAGTATCACAGTTTGGGCCGAAGAGTCTGGCGGTGGCGCCAGCCAGCCTTCAGAACAATAGAACACAACGTCTGCAAGATGGATGTCTCAGATCATGTATCTATTCATGTACATTATCAGCCATCATCGTGTGGCAGACGCAACAGTTGAACAGCGTAACAGATATTACTAATATGTAGATTCAGTTACTAATTAGTCTGAAGTCACACAATAAACTCATTATATACGTATCAGAACACGAGTAAATGTTACTAAATTAACTTTTTTTCTGATTTATCTGAGTAAAAAGTCTATTTGTTTTTTCCTGACAAGATTTGTATCTGTTGTTGCATTGATTTTAGGTCCTTCCCTAAAGGACCTAAAAAAGAAGATGGTCCCTAAAGGAAGGACCATCATTCTTTCTTAACATGGTTGAGGCCTATGAGATTATTAACATGGTTTGAGGCCTATGAGATTATTAACATGGTTTGAGGCCTATGAGATTATTAACATGGTTTCTGGCCTATGAGATTATTAACATGGTTTCTGGCCTATGAGATTATTAACATGGTTTGAGGCCTATGAGATCCTTAACATGGTTTCTGGCCTATGAGATCCTTAACTACACGCTTGAGTGACCACTATCTCAAGGACGCTTGGGATTCTTTTATCGAAATAGTGAAAACTTTGCTATATTACATTTTATATACAAAAATAATTATTTCTACTTTACTTTGACCAAATTTGGAAATAAACAAAGTCTTTCCGGGGGAGGGGGGGGGAGAGGCAGTGATGTATCTCCCATGGTGATGTAAGTTATTATCCCAGCAGGCCTGGTCGAGGACCGGGCCGCGGGGACGTTGAGCCCCGAATCCATGGCAAGGTGAGGTATCCCAACGTTACTCGTTAACCTGTTACTAATTGTTATAGTGTTACATAAGCCTTAGGCCTACATGGTTAATATTTAGTATTCCGCCACATGAACGCACTTTTCCTCCTACAACTGGTTGTATTAAAAATACAACATAAAACATGTACAAAACTGTTAGTTCGGATAGCTATCCAAGAATGACTATGTACACGGAACCTTAAAGCTACGAGAGTTTGTCCTGTGTTTATACTTAAGTTACTGATGAAACAGACGTTTTCTCTTCCCCTCAGAGTTCCAGCATTTTGAGCGCTCGCTGACTGGTGTACTCACAGAGGGCTGGTGTACTACACTCTGCCCGCTGACTGGTGTACTCACAGAGGGCTGGTGTACTATACTCTGCCCGCTGACTGGTGTACTCACAGAGGGCTGGTGTACTATACTCTACCCGCTGACTGGTGTACTCACAGAGGGCTGGTGTACTACACTCTGCCCGCTGACTGGTGTACTCACAGAGGGCTGGTGTACTACACTCTGCCCGCTGACTGGTGTACTCACAGAGGGCTGGTGTACTATACTCTACCCGCTGACTGGTGTACTCACAGAGGGCTGGTGTACTATACTCTGCCCGCTGACTGGTGTACTCACAGAGGGCTGGTGTACTATACTCTACCCGCTGACTGGTGTACTCACAGAGGGCTGGTGTACTATACTCTACCCGCTGACTGGTGTACTCACAGAGGGCTGGTGTACTATACTCTACCCGCTGACTGGTGTACTCACAGAGGGCTGGTGTACTATACTCTGCCCGCTGACTGGTGTACTCACAGAGGGCTGGTGTACTATACTCTGCCCGCTGACTGGTGTACTCACAGAGGGCTGGTGTACTATACTCTGCCCGCTGACTGGTGTACTCACAGAGGGCTGGTGTACTATACTCTGCCCGCTGACTGGTGTACTCACAGAGGGCTGGTGTACTATACTCTACCCACTGACTGGTGTACTCACAGAGAACTGGTGTACTATACTCTACCCGCTGACTGGTGTACTCACAGAGAGCTGGTGTACTATACTCTGCCCGCTGACTGGTGTACTCACAGAGAGCTGGTGTACTATACTCTGCCCGCTGACTGGTGTACTCACAGAGAGCTGGTGTACTATACTCTGCCCGCTGACTGATGTACTACACTCTGCCCGCTGACTGGTGTACACATTACACTCCTTGTTACGTGTACAGTAATAAATTTGCATAATTGCACTTGTTCTTTCGTTTGCCGATTTGTTAAGGCAATTATGGACGTGGTGGCGCTCTTAACAGGTGTAGAGGCACTCACAACAGGTGTAGTGGCACTCACAACAGGTGTAGTGGCACTCACAACAGGTGTAGAGGCACTCACAACAGGTGTAGAGGCACTCACAACAGGTGTAGTGGCACTCACAACAGGTGTAGAGGCACTCACAACAGGTGTAGAGGCACTCACAACAGGTGTAGAGGCACTCACAGCAGGTGTAGAGGCACTCACAACAGGTGTGTGATAGGCAAAATTTTGGCCAGGGATCTTAATAAGAACTTTTAAGACGGACAAATTGCTTAAGAAACCAAAATTGGACGAAATATTTCCAGAACTCAATAAAAAAGCAATACACAATTTTCCGCAAATAATTCAATAATTGTCTATCACGACATATAGAACGAACTTCACTTCTGATCAACGAGCATAATAGTGTTAGGCACTTAAGTATCTAAGTCTTTCGTTAGTCATTACTTATTCTTATCTTTGTCCGCTAACGAATGCTACTGTTAAGGGTTACTTCCCCCATCTCAAGTTGTCTATATTATACTTGTATGTTAAAATACTAAATATATGAGCTGTCATACACTTTTTACTATTAAGCTCTTTAAAGAAAGCTGATTAAAGCCAAGAACTGTATTACCCGGCGATTAACTACTTATCTTTGGACGGTCAAGAAGTGTGTGTGTGTGTGTACTCGTCTAGTTGTGTTTGCGGGGGTTGAGCTCTGGCTCTTTGGTCCCGCCTCTCAACCGTCAATCAACAGGTGTACAGATTCCTGAGCCTATTGGGCTCTATCATATCTACACTTGAAACTGTGTATGGAGTCAGCCTCCACCACATCACTTCCTAATGCATTCCATTTGTCAACCACTCTGACACTAAAAAAGTTCCTTCTAATATCTCTGTGGCTCATTTGGGCACTCAGTTTCTCAGTGTGTGTGTGTGTGTGTGTGTGTGTGTGTGTGTGTGTGTGTGTGTGTGTGTGTGTGTGTGTGTGTGTGTGTGTGTGTGTGGTGACGCAGCCAAGAAGGGTTCAAATGACAGCTGTGTGACAGCTCTCAGCACAGGTCACTCAGTTCTATTGTGCAATAAATTATGGATTAGGTGTCATTCCTGTGCATAAGGGTCATCACTGGAGTGTTTCATGGGACACGGCCAGTGGTAAAATATACAAAGAAAACATTCTTTAGTTTCCATAGTACATAATATTTACATACACCTTAAATTTGATGTACAAGCACCCATTCGTACACACAGATACATGCATGAAAATATTAGAGAGGAGTTGCGTACTATAGCAAGTGTACGGCATCAATGTACACCGTTGATGAACAAGAGCCGTGCAATGCATGCCAGCCGATTGATTGATGAAGATTAAGCCACCCAAAAGGTGGCACGGGCATGAATAGCCCGTAAGTGGTGGCCCTTTTGAGCCATTACCAGTATCAAGAGCTGATACTGGAGATCTGTGGAGGTGCAACTGCACCCTGCGTGACTGGAGATGTCTCTCGTGCATGCCAGCCGTATACAGCAGCAGTATATAGCTGCCATGTATAGCATTAGTGTATTACGGGCTATTCATGCCCGTGCCACCTCTTGGGTGGCTTACTCTTTATCAATCAATAAATCATCAGTGTAGAGCTGCCGTGGAGGGTGTCGGTCGCGTGTAGAGGAGTTGGGCTCCAGCTCTCGTGACTAGGCAGGCTCTTCTTCCATCTTTCACACTCGTATTATTGATCATTTACAACTTGGCCAAAACACAGCAACACGCTAACAAGCGCCAGAAATTAATATTGCCATTTTCTAATCCTCGATAAAAACTTATTTTCATACATTGAACTTTATGGGCATTACTCTTAGATAATAAAACACTCTTTTAAAGAATGTATATTAAATATCGTCTGAACCAGATGTCGACACAATTGTCAATGAAATACATTATTTCTCGCACTTGTCTGACACAACAGACCGGGACGACCAGTCTGGCCAGCGTTTATACTTCTGAATGTAGTTGAGGTCTCATTCAGGTGACGCTGAAGGAGCCACACTACGCACTATGGAGGATCCAGCTGCTAGCAACACCCACTATGGGGTAAGTCTGGTAACACCTCATTGAAGGCCACACTGGTGACAATACGGTAGACAAGGCCGAGAAGGGTGATACAATATACTGAGATGAGGTTCCAAACCGGTGGGACAGGAGGGTTAAGTTGCAAGATTGTGGTCGGCGACGCAGCCCGACCCGGCCGTCCTCCCCTACTTTGGTTATCCCATTCTCAGGGACCCTCTGAAGTATCCATTTTTAGAGACCCCCCTCTCTCTCAGGGACCCTAATCAAGATCACCTCTTACAGGCCCTCTTGAGGACTCATTCCAAGGACCCACATCGTGACCACTTTATGGCAGGGGAGACGCTGCCAGACGCACGATCCTTGGGGCCCTTAGCTCCTTGCCAATCTGCAAATCGATTGTGGATCCTGCGATGCTGTCGACCTCCTCAATAGTGGCAATAGAGGCTCCTGTGCGAGTAGTGTAGGGCGTAGAGGCACGTGGGGGACTTCTAGGACCTGGCGGACTGTTGTCGTTATTGTTCCGACTCATCAGCTTTTGGGAGGAGTCATGGTCAGCAGGCTCATTCGTGTAATAGAGGGCCGAATGTCTTCTGGCCAACAAGATGGCGGCAACAACCACCAGCAGCAAAGCCAAGACCAGCCCACACCCAACCCCCACGATCAGTGCCATGTGGTCGCCGAAGAATACTTCAAGACTGGTATCTGTTTCTTCTATTGATTCTGCGGTTTGATGGTTGCGAGGTGAGCGTGGGTCGTCGCTTTGGGTGTCTCCAAGCCAGGACGGCCATGCAGGAGCCTCCTGGACACACTCAGGCACGTGGGTCTTGTCCAGCAACTGCAGCTCCTGGCCAGCCAGCTCCTGCGGTCCCATGCACCTGAGGCAACGTGGGGACATAGGCATGTCACGACATATAGACTCTGCATGAGGATGGCGGGAGGCGCTTGGATCCCTCAGCCAGTCAAGCATGGGAGCCACATGGCATTGCTGACATTGCCACGGGTTTCCCTGTAACCAAACTTTTTCCAGCGAGGCCATGGTAGTGAAGGCAGTGACCAGGTCTTGTTCTAGGCCACGGAAGTTATTGTGAGAGAGATCTAGGGTGATCAGGTGAGGAGTGGCAAATAATGCAGACACTGGGAAACCTGACAGGTAATTCCCAGAGACGTTGAGGATTTTAAGGTGGCGTGATTGCCGGAGCAAATCCCCAGGCAGGTGGGTCATGCCCAACTCCGCTAGTTCCAGTTGCCGCAGCTGTCTAGCACGGGGGATCACTTGTACTAACTTTTCCACTTGAAGAGGATTGCCCGTGAGTCTTAAATACCGAAGCCTGGTGAAGCCGTCACTCAAGGCATCAGTACGAAGTCGCGTCAGACGGTTGTATGCCAGATCAAAGAATGTGAGCGTAGAGTTGGCCATCGCTTGAACACTTAGAGAGGAAATTCGATTATTGGCCAGCGTGAGAGTGGACAATGGTGGACCCGATAAGCCATTGGGCATCAGAGTGGACACGTGGTTGTAATCAAGGTGCAGTGTCGTCAAGTGTCTTGACACAGCTATTGGCGGTACCTCCGTTAATCTATTCAGACGAAGATCCAACACTCTCAACTCCGGAAGCGCCCTCAGAAGTTGCTCTGAAACAGTCTGAAGACCACATGCAGCACATCTCAGCTCGCGCAGGTTAGGAGCATCAGTGAAGCGGTCAGAAGGCAAGATGCCCAAAGGATTGTGACTGATGTCCAGCGTCTCAAGGAGAGAGAGGCCGTACAATATCCTGGGCACTATCTCAGGTAGACGGTTGTTTGCCAGGCTCAGGAAGCGAAGGTTTCGAATGTGACGGAACACAGCAGATGGAACCGATTCCACTTGGTTGTGACTCAGGTCCAGCGTGTGAAGACTGTCCGCACCCCGAAAGTTAGTGTCAATGACAGCTGTGATGGCATTATTGGAGACGTTGAGGGTGTGAAGGCGCCTCAGACCCCAGAAGGAGTGGGCGCCGAGGGCGGGAACGCCAGACCCCGTCACACTCAGCTTCTCCAGACGGCGGTGATCCTTGAATATGGGACCGAGAGTAAGGGCGTTGGGTCGACCAGGTGGTGCCCCAACTTCCAGCACCTCTGCGTCAGAAGGCATGTCTAATACAGGAAGGGGATCCACCAGTCCTCCTGTGTTGCAGATCACCTGACGACGGCCACGGGGGTCGAGAGGACAGAAGCACATGCGGGGGCAGGAACCAGGGGGAGCGGCAGCCACACACGCCGCCACCGCACACAGCAGCCACAGCCGCACCTGCAAGAAGACAACACAGAGCTCAGTAATGGAGTTCCGCGCTGCGCCTGCCACTACCACAAGCACACAGCAGAGGGAGGGAGAGCATGGGATGGCGGGAGGAAGTAATTTTACAGTCTGGTACTCGTATTACACGGAAGATTCAATAGTCAAAAATATAACTTAACCAACACAAGCTATTTACACTCCCATCCTGCCCGTAGACAAAGATAAATTGTGTTCGTTAGACATATTATTTTTGTTTGGTTTCCCCCAAAAAACGAAAATAATATTTGCAGTGTTACCATATGTTGACTCCGGGGATCAACGTCGCCGCGGCCGGTCTCTGACCAGACCACGTGGTTGGTGGTCTGGTCAACCAGGCTGGTGTAAGATGAAGCCATTATGTAACTAGAGGTTACATAATGATTTCATTACTTGCATACACTGATCCACCACCACGAAACCCTATATTTTGCTGGTTGGACAACCGGCAGCTTCACCCACCGGTGACTCATTAATTGTAGGGACCACTCGCGTCACCCTCCCGTCACCCACGTCACCCTCCCATCACCCACCCGCGGACAGACAAGCAGACCGCGTCACACCCAACTCACTGGAACAGGAAAACTACAATAAACAATTCTTGCCTTACAATATAATCCCGGGACGGGTGCAGGAGGCGTGACGGGCTACACATCAGCAGGGGTGAGTGTACCCCAGGTGGACCCCAGCACTGTGAGTGTGCCGTCAGGTGGACCCCAGCACCGTGAGTATACTGTCAGGTGGACCCCAGCACCGTGAGTATACTGTCAGGTGGACCCCAGCACTGTGAGTATACTGTCAGGTGGACCCCAGCACCGGGTGGCGGCTGTGTGTTGGGTGATAACGTTTTGGGTGATCAAATATGAGCAAGCACAAAGGTCTCTGTGTTAAGTGTGTGTGTGTGTGTGTGTGTGTGTGTGTGTGTGTGTGTGTGTGTGTGTGTGTGTGTGTGTGTGTGTGTGTGTGTGTGTGTGTGTTCTTACTTAGTTGTGCTTTGGCTCTTTGATCCCGCCTCTCAATCGTCAATCACAGGAGCCAACTTGTGAGTACTTTGTTTTTAATTTTGTACCAAAAGTCGAGTGTATTAGGCATGCAGCGTCTCTCATCCTGTGAGCGAACACACCGCCATATACCAGCATGTACAACACCCCGCAATAGGAAGAATACCCGCTGGGTTGTTCATCCTGTCACGCGTACCCAAACACAGCTGGGACTTGTTAAACTGCCTCAAATGAACAGACTAAAACAAGGGATTAACATCCTACAACCCTCGTGTTTTTAGTCGCAAGATAATGTTTATGTTATCTTGTGGATATAAAGCAGGAAAACTCTTTAAGGACAGTATATATATATTTGACAAAACGTGTTTTCCTAACTCGAACCATATGAGGTTTATTATACATGTTTCTAATGTCTCTGAGATGGGCAAGTCTCTCAGCCAGTGGTCCAGACCTTGTCCTTCACTCATGATATAAATTCTACAACTCCGCTCCTCAGTTGTTGTTTCCATCCCGCATCTCTGCAGGTATTTGTATCTAAGATGAATTCCTTTAATTACGGATTCTCTCATTTGACCACCTCCTTTTCGTTCATAATGAACGAGGTTGTCGGCTGCGACTGCATTGTACCAGCGTACAAACTCACTGACTTGCTCTATCCTTCCCCCCCCCCTTCTTCGGCTACCTTGTCACGGGGGATTTTTTTATGTCCATGAGTTGTTAAAGGGTCTTGGAGATGAAGTATTCAATATGGTCGTGAGTATACGTCCATGTGTTAATACATATTACTTAGAGACACAGAAAGGCCTGACAGCTGAGTGGACAGCGCTTCGTGTTCGTAGTCCTGAGGTTCCGGATTCTATCCACGGCAGAGGGAGAAACAAATGGGCACAGTTTCTTTCACCCTGATGCATCTGTTCACCTAGCAGTAAATAGGTACCTGGGAGTTAGACAGCTGCTACGGGCTGCTTAGTGGGGATATGTAACAAAAAGGAGGCCCTGGTCGAGGACCGGGCCGCGGGGACGCTAAGCCCTGAAATCGTCTCAAGATAACCACATGTCACATCACTTGCATGTAATATTAAATGTAATTTTGTTCCATTTGTAATGCATTCACTTGCAAAATAATAATAATAATAATAATAATAATACAACTAGAAATAAAACTCTGATGTGATATAAATAGCAAATCTGAACATATTCAACATTAATCCAATGAACACTGTCAGGTTATCTTGAGGTTATCTTGAGATGATTTCGGGGCTTTAGTGTCCCCGCGGCCCGGTCCTCGACCAGGCCTCCACCCCCAGGAAGCAGCCCGTGACAGCTGACTAACACCCAGGTACCTATTTTACTGCTAGGTAACAGGGGCATAGGGTGAAAGAAACTTTGCCCATTGTTTCTCGCCGGCGCCTGGGATCGAACCCAGGACCACAGGATCACAAGTCCAGTGTGCTGTCCGCTCGGCCGACCGGCTATTTAATTTTTTTATTTTATTTAAAATTTAAAAGAAAATATAATTTAAAAAAAAAATGTATTACAACAAATTAGGCAAGAATTAGAAGTGTTAACTAACAGAAACATTCCCAGACATCACACAGAGGTTTACACTAATTACATCACCTCTAACAGGAAACTGTACATTATATTCAACAGGAGAGTTCCAGTCACAGTCACAGTCGGCAAGATCTGTTTATTAGAAGGAACAGCTGGAAAATAAACAGAAAAATAAAAATATTAGACATATTGATACCAGCGTAGAGACTCTTGTTTACGTTTAGATTTACTAAATCTATATGTAAGATTTACTATATGTTTAGATTTACTAAATCTATATGTAAGATTTACTATATGTTTAGATTTACTAAACATAAAACACCTCTCGCTGCTGTTAATCTGGGCGAGTCTCTCTCCCCTGTGTTAGTGATGGGAACTCAAAGCCCTTAAGAGACCCCCAAAAAAAGAGCCTCCCGCACCCCCCCTCCCTTAACCCCCTCTCCCCTCCCCCTACACGGTTGAGAGGAACCATCGACACGTCCAACCCAACGACAACCATATCCGGTCAAACAGTTCGAGGACTTCCGGTCGTGACTGTCTAGTGACGTCGCCCTTACTTGTGGCCCCTCTGTTATTGTTGACGCTTTCCTGTTAGATCTCCCTGTCTCTCTGTTATTGTTGACGCTTTCCTGTTAGATCTCCCTGTCTCTCTGTTATTGTATAGTACAAACACGTCCAAGCCAGCACAAACACGTCCAAGCCAGCACAAACACGTCCAAGCCAACACAAACACGTCCAAGCCAACACAAACGCATCCAAGCCAGGACAAACACGTCCAAGCCAGCACAAACACGTCCAAGCCAGCACAAACACACCCAAGCCAGCACAAACACGTCCAAAGCCAGCACAAACACGTCCAAAGCCAGCACAAACACGTCCAAGCCAGCACAAATACGTCCAAGCCAGCACAAATACGTCCAAAGCCAGCACAAACACGTCCAAGCCAGCACAAATACGTCCAAGCCAGCACAAATACGTCCAAAGCCAGCACAAACACGTCCAAGCCAGCACAAATACGTCCAAGCCAACACAAACACGTCCAAGCCAGCACAAATACGTCCAAGCCAGCACAAACACGTTCAAGCCAGCACAAACACGTTCAAGCCAGCACAAATACGTCCAAGCCAGCACAAATACGTCCAAGCCAACACAAACGCGTCCAAGCCAGCACAAATACGTCCAAACCAGCACAAACACGTCCAAGCCAGCACAAACGCGTCCAAGCCAGCACAAACACGTCCAAGCCAACACAAACGCGTCCAAGCCAGCACAAATACGTCCAAGCCAAAACAAACGCGTCCAAACCAGCACAAATACGTCCAAGCCAGCACAAACACGTCCAAGCCAGCACAAACACGTCCAAGCCAGTACAAACGCGTCCAAGCCAGCACAAACACACCAAAGCCAGCACAAACGCGTCCAAGCCAACACAAACACGTCCAAGCCAACACAAACACGTCCAAGCCAACACAAACACACCCAAGCGAGCACAAACACACCCAAGCGAGCACAAACACACCCAAGCCAGCACAAACACACCCAAGCCAGCACAAACATGCAAAACACACACACACACACGGAGTGAGACACACCTGTAGTCTAATAACAATAAGGATGGCATGGCGGGGTCCGCCGTGGGGGCTCGATCAAGAGGCCACCAAAACACACACACACAGACGGCGGAGAAGTGCACGAGGCCAGATTTATGAGAGTAAGTTGATACCTTCATCAGTGGCATCCGTCGTCCACCTCCCTCTCATCTTCCCTCTCTCACCTCATCTTCCCTCACCTCATCTTCCCTCTCTCACCTCATCTTCCCTCTCTCACCTCGGCGTCCTCTCAGCGTCCTCGTCCTCTCAGCCTTGCCTTTTGCCTCTTCATATCACTTCACGACCTGCATGAAGCGACGGTCTCGCTTCATGCAGGTCGGCGTTCAATCCCTAGACCGTCCAAGTAGTTGGGCCACCATTCCTTTCCCCCGTCCCATCCGAAATCCTTATCCTGACCCCTTCCAAGTGCTATATAGTCGTAATGGCTTGGTGCTTTCCCCCTGATAATTCCTCTTCCTCCCTAATGTCTAATGCCTCATTCCTTTCCTCGCCTATTTTCTTTACCCGTATTGTATCTCGCCGTCCCTCACACCTGCTCTCTCACCTTCCCTCACACCTGCTCTCTCACCTTCCCTCACAAATTCTCTTACACTTCCCACAGAAACTACAGTAATGAACTGAGAAAACGATATTTTATATCGTTATATTTTATATCGTTTAACCTTTTATAAAACATTTAAGAAGAGTTGTAGTGAATCAAACAAGATTCATTCTAAGTACGTTTGTGAAGCTGGGTCCCACGAGGTACGGCCCTCGCACCAGTATCATCCTCATACCACACATAAACACAACCTACAATTTCGTGTCATTC